GGCTTAGCAGTAGCATCTTAATACATTTAACCTATGCCCTCAATTTACTGTCTACATGAAGAAAGTTTAATCTCACAAAGCTCTGGTGAGCACTGGGCAAATGTTCAGGTTCCTCCTCTGTTAAATGTTAACAGTAATAGTAACCATTTGATAGGATTAGAAGATTAAATAAGATACTATATAGGGGCACCTGGGGGGCTCAACCGGTTCACCCCAGGTCATGATCCTGGGGCCCTGGGATCAAGCCCCGCATCGCGCTCCCTGCTCACTGGGGAGCCTGCTTCTCCCTCTCCCTGCAGCTCCCCCTGCTTGTGCACTCTCTGTCAAATAAATAAAGTCTTAAAAAAAATAAGATACTATATGTAAAGGACACAGCAAAATGCCTGGCACAGAGTAAATGCTCAATAATCAGCTTTTATTAACGTGCCTCCTCTTGTGCTAGGTGCTGGATAAAACAGCTGTCTTATGAAACAGGAGGGTTATAAGAGATATGTAAGGAGTTGAAGTAAAAAGTGTGTTCAATGAATGGTGGTCCCTCTTTCCATTTCTGATGAAAGAAGAGGGAACCGGGACACACACGAGTCAGTGACATGCTGAATGGAAGCCTGGAGAGGCTGTCCATCTCCTCCCCTCCACAATGGAAGTACTCATCTGCCCCCAAGCTCGTGGGGGTGTCGTGGCTGACAAGTTTCAGCTGAGTCTCTCTGTAGGATTTGTGCTAGGATGAAGAGAGCTGCTCATCCAAGGTCACACCCCCCATCCAGGGCACCATGCTGAATGTAAACACAGGGATATGAACAACACAGGGATATGAAGGCTAAGCCCTCTGCCCCAATTCAAGGACAACTTTGAAGGGCAATCCCAGTTCCAGAGTTCCCTGGGATAAACTGAAGGCTTCTAAGCAACTGAAATGCTATTCAATGTTTCCCTTTAACCAATCCTGCTTCTTTCACTCCCTAAAAGTATTGATCCCAAGAATACTCCTGCACACAAATCTCAGAGTCCACTGCCTAGGGAAATGGCTTATGCTACTTGTCCAAAGTCAAAAAGCTAATGAAAGGGGGCGCCTGGGTGGCTCAGTTGGTTGAGCGACTGCCTTCAGCTCGGGTCATGATCCCAGGGTCCTGGATCGAGGCCTGCATCGGGCTCCCTGCTTGGCGGGAAGCCTGCTTCTCCCTCTGACCCTCCCCCTGCTTGTGTTCCCTCTCTCGCTGTCTCTCTCTCTCTCTGTCAATTAAATAAATAAATAAAATCTTAAAAAAAAAAAAAAAGCTAATGAAAGGTCAAATGGGATTTACTACAGATGTGCCAGCATAAATTCCACAATTATAAAATGAGGAAGAAGAGACCAAATGAAAGAATGAACCAGGTGTGCCTGGGTGGTGCAGTTGGTTAATTGTCCAACTCTTGGTTTCAGCTCAGGTCATGACTCAGGAGAGTGAGACTGAGCCTCGCGTCGGATTCTGCACTCAGCCTGGAGTCTGAGATTCTCTCCCTCTCCCCATCCTACTTGTGCTCTCTTTCTAAAATAAACAAATCTTAAAAAAAAAAAATAAATGAAGCAAAAGACCTATAGACAACATTATAAATGCTACCCCAAAATATCCTAAGAGTGTCTCATTTGTGGATCAAAATAAAAATGAAGAGTCATCTCTATTGAAGTTGAGTTGAAATAAGAGAGTGTCCATCCCTACAAGAAGAGGAAAATGAGAAGGTCATGAAGGTGAATTTCCTGGGATGCTCTCTATTTCACTTCAGAAGCAGAGACTAACTGGACCAAAAGGGGCTTTGAAGACAGAATAGTTCTTTATTTTATACAAGAGGAAACTGCAACTCAGACTGAGGGTACACAGAAAGAGTGGCCTAGTCTAGGCTTTTTAAATTTCCAGAGTCCTTCAGCTTTGTCTTCAATGTGTGATTGTGACATTTTATGTAAAGTGTACCTCCCACAAAAGATCAGATATGTTCAAATATAAGCATGAAATGCATTATGAAACTACGCATGACTTTTGAATTAGGCATCAGTGTCACTCTTCCCTCCTATCAAGGTGGATAACTGGGAATTGACTACATTATAAGTATTCACAGAACAGAATGGCTTTACAAGGAAGGTTAGAATTCACTATCTATACCTCTGGCTACATTAGCAATTAACTTTCATCAAATATTGTATCTTAATGGCCTTATCTCAAAATGAGGATAATAATTATCTCATTCAGTAGGATGCCATGAAGACTAAATATTTAATCGTCGCAATGCATTCTAAATGCCACATAAACAAATAACATAGCAATACATATAGCGACTTCTAGCAGGTTAACATTGTAGCAGGTTAATATTACACATAACTAATCAAAAAGAGCCTAAGAAAGGCACAAATACATTTAGACATTTGCTTCCAATCACGAGAGCAAGATTTAAACTGATATTCTATATTATTAAAATAAAATAGGGTAGGGGCGCCTGGGTGGCTCAGTTGGTTAAGCGACTGCCTTCGGCTCAGGTCATGATCCTGGAGTCCCGGGATCGAGTCCCATGTCGGGCTCCCTGCTCAGCAGGGAGTCTGTTTCTCCCTCTGACCCTCTTCCCTCTCGTGCTCTCTATCTCTCATTCTCTCTTTCTCTCTCAAATAAATAAATAAAATCTTTAAAAAAAATAAAATAAAATAAAATAGGGTAACCACAATAAGTGAGGAAAATATCAAGGACATTTTACACTTTTTTTTTTTAAAGATTTTATTTATTTATTTGAAAGAGAGAGAGAGATAGTGAGAGAGAGAGAGAGAGAGCACGAGCAGGGGAAGAGGGAGAAGCGATGCGGGGTCCGATCCCAGGACCCTGGGATCATGACCTGAGCCGAAGGCAGATGCTTAACTGACTGAGCCACCCAGGCGCCCCATTTTACACATTTTAAACTGGTTCTTAAAAGTACTGTATCTTTCGTTTTTAAATTTTTTTTTTTAATTTTTTCAAGTAGGCTCCATGACCTGAGGCTCGAACTCACAACCCTGAGATCAAAACCCGAGCTAAGAACAAGAGTCGGACACTTAACTGACTGAGCCACCTAGGCACCCCAGATTTCTGACATTTAAAGGAAAGTCTGTCATGTATTATTCTTTTTTGGATGATGGTGGATATCAAGTAGTTATGGTAAATATTCTACTGCATATATTTATAATAACAGTACTTTTATTTTTAAATGTCAATATTCACACTATCCTCCAAATTACATCTTTTGCAAATGTTTAAACTTAAAATTGAAAAGTTTTAGCTGTTAACATAAAAACATGCAAGGAATCAGATATTTCTTGATCCTCATTAGAGAGATGGTAAGCAAAAAAAAAAAAAAAAAAAAAAAATGAAAGTCACCAGACTACTGAATCAGGCCAAAGTTTCATTAACCTCTAATATTCTAATGTCAAGACTCTACGTAAGAAGCTACATACATAAATCCTAGGGTGTCTACACTGGCATAGAGAGGTGAGCCTTCTGTAGAGTGGGTGAGATTTGAGCAGGGTTTTATGCCTGAAAAGCAGAGAACCTGCAGAACCTGAGAAAAGATAAAGATGCTAGAGGTAAGGGGCGGCGGGGGGGGGGGCTGCAGCGGGCAGGCCTTCACCGGAGACAGAGAGCAGGTGCACACAGGCCTTCACCGGAGACGGAGAGCAGGTGTACACAGGGGGAAATGCAAAGGGCATGGGTTTTCAGGTCCTAAGAAGCTTGAGTTCAAGTTGAGATTTTACTACATTGTGGCTGAGCTACTTTGAAGAAGTCTTAATTTCTCTTTTAAGGATCAAATGAGGGGATAAAAAACTCTTCTTAAATTATGAACAGGTTAGTCAGTAAGCCCTTCTCAAGAAGGAGCCATTAAACACTAGCAGTGTGTGGATGGTCAAAGCATCAGCTCTGGAACCAAAAGACTGTGTTGAAACAAAACCTGCCATTTCCTTAAGGTATGATCTCAGCCAGGGTCACCAAACCTCTGTGTGCCCAGTTAGCCTTATGTGTCAAATAGAGATAACTAAGGTGCCCATTTTATAGGGTTATTATGAAGATTAAGTGAGTTAATGTATGTAAAAGAGCTTAAAATCGTGTTCAAAGAATTATTTATTGCTGTTGGTGGTGGTTTTGTCATTATTACTCTCTGATTCTCAATGTCAAATAGGGATCAGGAGAACACCAATGACTAATAAGTATTTGATTAAGAATCTAAAAAAAAAAAGAGGAGCAGGGGTGGGGACAGGCAGCTAAATCTATAGGAGGGTTTTAATAATACAAGCTACTAATATGGCTCCATGATTTCACAGCAAAAGTATGTAACAATGAGACAGGGAAGTTTCCTGCTGTTGTAACTAGCAAAGTAAAATCATATATCTTTTTCCCTTGCTAAAGGGCTCAAAACCCCAAAGCGCATTGCAATTTGTTCTATAAAGAATACTTTGTGATATATTCAGTAGGACTATATTTGGTCCTTATAATGACACAGTTTGTTAGAAACAATTTTGCAATACGGTAGGAATATTTTGACCTTACCTAAAGGAGTTCTAACACTGAAATATCAAAAGACATTATAAAATATCCTTAACCTGTTATTAACATACCAACCACAGAATACAAGGTAGCAGTACCACACAAGCTCTTTGAACTCCGATTGTAACTAATTCACCCCCACTCCTGACTTTTCAAACCACATTCAGGACATATTGCATAGTTTTACAGAAATTATTTTAGAAATTAGATGTTTGGGCTAAAATCCTGACCGAAATATGCAAACACAAAGATCAGAAATGTGTTAAGAAAAGCATTTTCAAGATCATGTTTTAAATTTTAAGAAGTTTGGGTACTACAACCAAAGGGTGATGTACCAAACAGACTGTACTGCTTCCTGACTTCATGTCAGCATTCTGTTGAAGCTAAAATTCAGGATATGTATTCAGAGGTTTTGTTAACAAAAAATATGTATTGAAACTAAATATCAGTATTAGGAACTTTTTAACTTACAAGTATGTCTGGCCAGTGAGTAGTTGGATCCACCACTAGTCAAGCCAAATCCCTCAGGAATTTGACTAGAGCTTCGAGGTCTGGTCAACAATTTAGGAGGTTCAATTTCAGCACCAAATTCAGCTCCTATTACTCCTAGTAAAACAATAGCAGTAGCTTGCTTCCGTCTTTCCTCATAAGATGTGGAAATCTTTTTCATTTGTGGGATACTTGATATGCAACCTGAAAACCAAAACATAAGTTAAAAAAATATCAATACACAAAAGACATATAATAATAAAAAAATTTCAAGATTACTCTTTCAGGAAAGAACAGTCTTTTCAACAAATGGCACTGAGGTTATCCAACTACAAAAGGATGAATTTGGGCTTCCACCTTTCACTACACAAAAAAATCAACTCAAAATAGATTCACAGTACTAAATGTAAAAGCCAAAACAAAATAACTTGCAGAAGAAAACAGAGAGATGTAACTTCATGATCTTGGGGTAGGCAATGGTTTCGTAGATATGATACCAAAAGCACAAGCAATTTTAAAAATTTCTTTAATTGGATTTCATTGATATTATGAACTTTTACACTTAAAATGACAGATTTAAGAAAGTAAAAAGACCATGCACAGACTCAAAGAAAATACTGTCAATTATGTATCTATAAAGGATTGTATCCAGAATATATGAGGAACACTTACAACTCAATAATAAAAAAGCACAACTCTTAAAATGGGTAAACAATTTGAATAGATATTCGACATATGATGATATATGAATGGCCAATATGCATATCAAAGATCCTTAACATCACTGGTCATTAGGAAAATGCAAATCAAAACCATAATGAGATACCACTTTGCATCCACTAGAATGGCTGCAATAAAAAGGATTATAAAATGTGCTGTCAAGTATGAACAGAAAATGAATGCAGTGCAGGTGGAAATGTAAAAAGGTACAACTACTTTAGAAAACAGTTTGGCAGTTACTTACTCAGTTTGGTTTTCTATTTCTTCCTGAGTCATTTCTTTCTTTTTAAAGATTTTATTTATTTATTTGACAGAGAAAGACACAGTGAGAGAGGGAACACAAGCAGGGGGAGTGGGAGAAACAGGCTTCCCGTGGAGCAGGAGGCCCAATGTGGGGCTTGATCCCAGGACCCTGGGATCATGACCTGAGCCAAAGGCAGATGCCTAATGACTGAGCCACCCAGGTGCCCATTCTTGAGTCATTTCTGATAGCTTGCAGTTTTAAAGGAATTACCTATTTAATCTGAGTTTTTTAATTTATTGGTGTGAGATTATTTGCAGTATTCTCTATGATGAAAGTATTTCAAATATATCATTGCTATGGATCCTTTTAAATATTATTTGTGCCTTCTCTAATATTACTTTTCATGCTTTTCTTGATCAGGTTTGCTAGAAATATATATATTTACTAGATTTTCAAAAAAATACTTTGTTGGGGCACCTGGGTGGCTCAGTTGGTTGCACATCTGACTCTCAGTTTCAGTTCAGGTCATGATCTCAGGATCGTGAGATCAAGCCCCTGTATTAGGCTCCACACTCAGCAGGCAGTCTGCTTGAGATTCTCTCTCCCTCTGCCCATGCGCCGCCCCCCCCGCTCCCCCCACACTCTCTCTAAAATTAAAAAAAAAAATTAAAAAAAGTACTCTGGTTTTGATCTTATTTCATTTCTTTCTATTTTACCAACTTCTGTTGTTATTTTTATTATTTCTCCTTCTACTTTATGTCTTCTATCAGTTCTTTTTGTTTCTAGGCTTATTTATTTATTTTTAAGTAAACTCTACACCCAATAGGCTTGAATTCATAACCCAGAGATCAAGATCAAGAGTTGCATTCTCTACCCACTGAGTCATCTAAGCACCCCTGTTTTGTTTCCAGGTTCTTAGGATAAACACAACTCACTTATTTTCATAACCTATTATGGTTTATGTTGCCAGTCACAGAGCTAACATCCACTTTCCTCTCCTTTAATAACACAACTTCAATTTTAACTGAGTAGCGATATACTCACATCCTTTCAGGGTCCTTTCAAGAAACGGCAAAGCCATAGCCTAGCTCCTGGCTTTAAGCTTTACTCATGATATATTTTAAGTCCTCTTTAGCTCACAGGAGCCAAAAGCATACTTCTGGAAAGGAGCTAAGGGTTTCAGCCCAGATCATTTCTATTTTATTACTTGTCCACAGAGATACCTATCTTTCTGGAGACTAGCTATGTCTCTTCGGGTTTTCTGTTTGTATATTTTAACCATCATGGCTATATATTTGGTAGAGAGAAATTTAAAAAGTGAACTTCTGGAAACATCTTCATTGGAGGTCAGCTTTCTAGTCTTTCTAGTCATCCATCCAGCTTCTCTGGACCCTTTCAGTACTTTGTCTCTATATTAATTAAATCAATATAGCAAAGGGCCCTCAGAGTTCAGTATACCAACTAAGAAATTAACAGCGGGGACCTCTGAATGCTTTTAGATGTTTTGTTTTATTTTGTCTCTTCATTTACTTTGTCATTCCATACTAACTGGAGGTAAGGCAAGGGAATGACAACACAAGAGGCTACAGGGGTACCACCAAATCAAGAGAGACTTTTGCAGGGCAAGCTGAAGACTTTTAACTTTTGGTTAACGGTAAGGTATCGAATAATTTTGTATAAGGTGGCGCTATCAGATTTATTCACTGTTAGAAAGATCATGATAGTGGCAGTAGGATGGCAGATTATGAGGTAAAACAAGATGTATCCAGTAGAACCAAAAGAAGACTCCTGCAATGATCAGGTGAAAAACAGTAAGTACCAGTGGTGGTAGAAATTCATTCATTCTGACATCAGTTACTCGGTCTCAGTATAAGAACTGAAGATCTGGTGTGTTCATGGCATTATACTAGACATGAAAAGAGATGTGAAAAGCAAGTTCACTGTCCTCTTTGAACTTAAAGGCTACTAAATAAGAATCAGAAATAGGTTACAGAATCAATGAGAAGATTATGAACTGAGAGAATGGTATGTTTAAGAACCTAAAGCATTAGTAATTTGTTGATTTCTATTTCAACGAGAGGTAATTGGATTGGAAGCCTATGAGCTGAGAGAAAGATAGAAAACAGGCAAGGGAGGCAGGCAAGGGCCAGACCACAGATGGCATCACAGATCCTATTCACATTTCAATTCTTATCCTATAAAAAATAGGAAGATACTCAAGGTAGGATTTAAGCCACAGAATGATATAATTAGATTTAGGGATTCAGAAGGATATCGTAGAAATCAAAGTGAGAGATTAAGATTAGTTTGGTTTGGGGATATAAATAGGAGATGCAGAGACGTGGATATCTTTAAGATCCATGGTGAGTCCTGGGTTAAGTTGATGGAAACATTGCAGATTTTAGATGTCATGCCTTAAGTTCTTAACAAAATTAACTAAGACAAAATCAGAACAAAAAGTAAAATAGTAAAAATTAGTAGTAATTTTAGCAAAAGTTAACTAAAACAAGAATAAAACAAAGCAAAAGAAACCCTTTCAAGGTAAGTAGGTAGGTATGGCCTTTCTAGAAGCTTAATAAAAAAAACACCTAGAGCGCAAAGCTTTTTAGTATAAACTTTAAATTGCTTTTATTTAGCTGTGCTGAAAGGCAGAATGGATGTGAGCAAGCAGACCTAGTTGAGCCTATGAAAAGGAAATGACAGGATATTACAAAGAATGTAATAGTTGGAAAGGAGTAATTGTGTAAGAAAGAGGCATGAAAGGACTTAAAAAAAAAACTAAGAAACTAAGATGGTAGCATCAAAGAGTGGTTACTGTTTATTTGGAAAATAAGAGTCTGGTTCAACTGAGTACAAAAAAAAAAGATTTGTTGTTGCTGCTGTAGTTTCTTAACTTCTGCATATCATACTTAGTTTAAAAAAAAAAAAGTTCTGAAAATGTGCCATTAGTTTTCATGCAGTATCTAGAAAGACAAAATCCAAAATGAGTCCACAGAGAATACACTGATCTTTAAAAATGTTGTAACTGTTTCATATAAAATTTTAGTTATTATTAATTTCCCTAATTTATTTTTTAATAGTATATTTCAAACTACTTGCAGGCTGCTTTACAAGGATATTCCTCCAATGTTAATAAAATTATTTTATCACTTCCACGGTCATGATAAGTCGTATTTCATGAATTCACACTTCCTACAAAAAGCCTCAATTAAAATGTCCAAAAATATTTAACATTCAGAAATATCTTCTAATCAGATCCCACAGTATGCAATTCTCTCTCTTCATGGTTTTTTTTCTAGTTTTTTAAAGGTAAAGAAACATTAGCAAGAGTCTTACTGTGTACACGCAATGACAGATTCCAAGTATGCCACTGATCTGTCATAGTTCTAATAACGAAAGTAGGGGAGAAACCTACAAGCTTAACCATACTAAGAGGAAACAAAATCAATAACCACTGCCTCTGTGTATGGAGGATGAAAATGAACCCAAATTCTAGAGAAAATGATATTTAACAGGTTGAGAATCTGTATCTCAGTACATGCATTTAAACCCAACTTTTGAGTACAAGAACACACAGGGGCAGAGCTCTGCGCAGCTGCAGCTAGATTCATGCAGTATACATTTCACTCTTTCCATAGTAGTCATGAAACAGGAAGCAAATCAAGCTCCCCTCCCCCCATGTCTCAGCAAGAGCATGCTCCATAACAATAGTTCAAAGGAAAGCTCTATTCTGCAGTTGCACTGATTGTTCTGTCAGCTGACCTCTGCAGAAGGGAATTGCTAACCGCTGCCTTGCTCCTTAGCTGACAAATGAATGATCGCAGCTCCATCTATTTTCACTATGGCTGCCTCTAGCCCAGGTGCTCAGACAGAGAGCCCGGTGTGACATCTTAGATCAAGATGAATTGGCACAAACTCCTGATCCAAGATTGTTTTATACCATTTAATTTAGTTTCTTCCCCTGCTTGGATGAGCACAGCTCTGGTTATGGATTTCTATTCTAATGTACTGAAGCAGGCCCTGAAAGAAGCCAATGAAGCAGCTGCTGGAGCAAGGGACTGCAGGGATACTGATCAATAGGCAAGGCATTGACCCCAGCCATTCAGCCTGTGCAACGGCCACTGCCTGAAGGGGGAGGGGGGCCCAGAAGCACACATGGGCTGCTTCCAGTAGGAAATTAAACAACAGGGGCATTTGGAGAGCTCCGCCTCCACCCCTGGTCCCCCACCTTCCCTATGTT